AGAGCCTTGTTGACGCAGACAGGAAGTAATGTCATTTTGAAAGAACAGTGGTATTCTGAGTATTTTAATTAAATGCAAGCAAAATAAATGGTTGGTATTACAATTACTAAACTATTGGAAGATGTTTCTGTCTATGTACATGTTTTACTTGGAGTAACACAGCATGGCCACATGAGAGCTCCATAGCCTTCAAGTGACTTACACACAATTTTCTGCATGATATGTAAATGTTCAAACGATCACCCTAGCGGATGGGAGGCCTGGGTGAAGATACTACAAGTGTGTAGACTGGACTCCAATCAACTAAGAGGTCCTGCTGGATACACAACATGCATTATATGACCTTACACTTGTTGGGGGCCATATAAATACGCTAAGAGTATTGTGAGCACTGAGGTGGCATGAGTGAAAGTTTGTTTCATCACATTTTTAGATGTTCACTGTTTTTTTTTGTATCGTTAGTGAAAGATGCACAAGTAACATGTCCTCTATGTACTTTATTATACATCTAGTTTTGGCACATATTATTATTTATATGATGTGAATGAAAAGCGCAGATGTTGATCATATATATACAGTATTACGTTTATTTTGATTGATAAGTTCACATATAAATATTGGATTGTGTTTATTTTGCATGTATTTGTTTTTTACTGGCATATATATAACAGCCACACATATTTAATGGTAGCTCAGCACCATTCACTATTTTAGTTGTACTTTTATATGTGGGAACACATTAGATGTTAGCAGCTACCGTGCATTTGACTTTCTATATTTGAGTCAGGTAGTGCTGGATTTATTGCTAATACATATACATAAGATACTAATGCAGTCATCACAGTTACTGTCAGGTCCATAAATATTGGGACATCGACACAATTCTAACATTTTTGGCTCTATACACCACCACAATGGATTTGAAATTAAACGAACAAGATGCGCTTTAACTGCAGACTCTCAGCTTTAATTTGAGGGTATTTACATCCAAATCAGGTGAACGGTGTAGGAATTACAGCAGTTTGCATATGTGCCTCCCACTTTTTAAGGGACCAAAGTAATGGGACAGAATAATAATCATAAATCAAACTTTCACTTTTTAATATTCGGTTGCAAATACTGCAGTCAACTACAGCCTGAAGTCTGGAACGCATAGACATCACCAGACGCTGGGTTTCATCCCTGGTGATGCTCTGCCAGGCCTCTACTGCAACTGTCTTCAGTTCCTGCTTGTTCTTGGGGCATTTTCCCTTCAGTTTTGTCTTCAGCAAGTGAAATGCATGCTCAATTGGATTCAGGTCAGGTGATTGACTTGGCCATTGCATAACATTCCACTTCTTTCCCTTAAAAACTCTTTGGTTGCTTTTGCGGTATGCTTTGGGTCATTGTCCATCTGCACTGTGAAGCGGCGTCCAATGAGTTGTGAAGCATTTGGCTGAATATGAGCAGATAATATTGCCCGAAACACTTCAGAATTCATCCTGCTGCTTTTGTCAGCAGTCACATCATCAATAAATAGAAGAGAACCAGTTCCATTGGCAGCCATACATGCCCACGCCATGACACTACCACCACCATGCTTCACTGATGAGGTGGTATGCTTAGGACAAGGGACGGACTGACCATTTGGGAACTCGGGCACTGCCCGAGGGCCTGGGGTCAGTAGGGGGCCCTATGAGATGCCCCTGGTAGCTTTCATAGGCTTTTTTGGGTGTGGTTTGAGTATGGGCGAGGACACAGGGGCCCCATGATCCTCTATTGCCTGATTGTATATCCCAGCAGCTGAAGAGGTTCACAATCCAGTCTCCCTACCACACACAGCACACAATTTGGGCTGTAAATCAGTTTTAATTTAATGAATGGGCACACGTTATAACTATATGAAGTTGTATGTGTTTGTACTGCACCATACTTTTGTACTCAAAGCATGCTTTGAGAGGCTTTTTGGAAGCCTTTACAGCGCCCTTCAGATCCAATTTGATGATGTTAAACACAGATTGTGATGGGAGTTACTGCTGTCATTTTAAACAAGCTTTTACCAGGCTAACAATAAGCTCCAACGCCATTTGAAGCTTTTTGAAAGCCTGCTAGTAGCTTGTTTAAAGTGACAGCCAGCAGTCCTTTTAAGAACTGTGTTTATAAGAACACTGTGATGAGAAATTAATGCGGTCTGCCATTACTGAGCTCTCCTTTAAGAATGCTAGTTCCTTGGCTGTCATTCTGACGCAAAAGTATAGAGATAACAGTAAAGGTAGTTTCAACACTTTTCTGGCACTCATTTACAGCATGTTTGTTCCAGGACTGTAACTCAAACATCTAAAGCACACCAAAGGCACTAAGGCCTTAACTTGTCAGACCTTACTGGCACATTATTCGAGGCACTCATGATTAAAAACATACATTTGATTACATGATTGTACATTAAAAAATTAAATCGGACCTATTATAGGTCATAAAATCTGTACCACTACATTTATAATACATCAAGTGTTAACTGTGACTAATTCCCCACAGTCACCATATCCATATAGGTAAAGTACATGACCTATTGAAATAATTACAACATGGTAATCTGCGGAGAACAATTGTGACGGGAGTCACTTTGGGTGGGGGGCCTATGGAACCCAGCTCACTTTAGAGAGGTGGGGAGACCCCTGTCTCAGCTCCCCATATCCCTATTATGTGTAAGTCACCCTGTTCCTCTTAGGAGTACAGGGTGATCTGTCCTAATATTGTGTAGACATGTCTAGAAGATAGGTGGGGTGGGGGTTGTGGATTGTTTGGTGTTATGTGGTTGCATCCCATTGTTCTATTGTTTGCCTGGCTTGGGAGCAAACTATTATGGGATGTACTGTATGTGTTTATGTGTATTAGCTTAGTGGGGGGTTGTCTCCGGCAGCCCTCCCTCCTGATGAGACTGTCTGCTGGAGTGAAGTTTGAATACCTGTGTGTCTCTTGTTACTATATGTAGATTGCCCTGTGACATTATGCAGGGAGGGGGGATTTTCCCCTGAATGTATATATCGTGTATCTGTGTTCAAATAAACTAGTCTATTTTCTGGCTTACTTCAAATCTGTGGTGTCTGTGGTCTGTGGTCGGTGTTCGGACGGGGAAGCGGTATTCTAACGGAAGTACTCAGCGCAGGCTGGGGTCGGTTCCGTTACAACAATCCTTATTGGTCAACATGTTTCCTATTACTGCTTCATCAGGACCGAAGAGGAAAAACTGCAGTGGTAACTCCGGAATTGCAAAGTGACTTGCAGAAGACTCCCAGGATGGGTAGTGAGAAAAGGGGCGAACCCAAAGGTCAAACCAACCAAAGTAGTTTAAAAAGTAACAGGTCAAGAGCACTTAAGGCAATGATGTCCCCAATATAATAAACCTACTAGGTATCATCATCTCCAGTTTTATATGTCCTCCAAAATGTTACCAGACAGAATATCCATCACTTTGACCCTCACTTAGGATACTTGACTTTACCAAACATACACCATTGTATATACATACATTTGTGGGCTCTGCTAGGCACCGTAGACTGGGTCACTTGTCTTGCATATGGGGTACATTTACTTGTGTCATGCTCATCAATGCCCTGGGACAACAGGGCGGAGGCCACTGTCAAGGATAACTCAAGCTCAAATTGGGCCTCCAACATAGAGATGTCTGTGCACTGTGTACACATGAACAAATGAACTGGACTCCATGTGTGCATTTATTTAACTCTTCCTCTTCTGTACCTAGTGGCTAGGCCGAGGATCTGTGGTGCTGATCTGCTCCCATTGCTATGGGAGACAGACTGCTCGGCTACAGAATTATCCCAACCCTCGCTGCTAGATCACACCCTGGCCATCACAGGTACCACAACAGGCTGCTTGGACTTGCTGCTAGACTTCCGTTACACCTGATAACTACTTGCCATGTTGACTCATCATATCCCAATGTGCTTTAACTGACCCAGGCTGCAAAGTCTATGCAGAGAGTGCAGGTTATTTTCATACACCCCTTTAAATAACTTCAGACAAGGCATGGCAAAATTTCAATGCTTTACTTAAGAAACTTCAGCACAACAAGCAAACAGTTTTTTCCTCTCTAAAACCATAACTATGGCTTTGGCTGCCCCAGCATATCTGCACAGGATGAGTCCATATATGGCAAAGTCCATGATGCTGGCATCCTCGGCAGAAGGTTTCCAGAAAGAGATCCCCTGGTTGAAACAGCTCTCTGTAAGCAGCTGATGATTACATCTTGGAGGTCTGTCTGTGTCCTTTTCCCATGCAGCAGACTGAGACTAGGCAGAGTCCTGCCCCCCATTTATTTACAGCACAGGGAGAGAGGCAGAGCTCAGAAAATATGTGGGAACTGCATTAAACTTTCCCTCCCAACTAGGGCAGTCAGCTGTCTAACTAAAAGTAGGCAGTCTGCCTACACATGGTCCCCTTTATCACAAGCTGTCCTAGCTGTGAAACAAACCCCAAAAGTTACCACATAACTCTACATTAACATGTTATAACCAATGTCAAGATGTAGCATAAATGACTTTAAATACAAAACAAGAAAGCATTGAACATTTAAATAACTAAACAGTATATGGAGAGGTCAAAATTTAAAGTCTGGATGATGAATGGTGTCACCTGTGTTGCACAACCAGGAGCGGCCGTTGTATAAGTCCATGATGGGTGAACCATTGCCATCCGAGAGCTCCATGACGGACCAGTCCAGGGTTGCTGGAGGCAGCAGCTCTTCTAGAATTGCCTCCAAAAGCTGGCTGTGGGCTCACTGGATAGGATTAGATTCCACAGCAGATGGACAGGACAGCAGTTTGACCCCTTATCACCTTGTACCTCAGGCAGGATCCAATCAGGACGCAAACATAATTAAACACGTTCATTAATGCTGGGCAAGCCTGGACAAGTCGTTAGAGGTGGTCTTCAGGTGTATGAAGTAGGTGTAGCCCCAGAGTAGGTGGGACCAGGGATGGACTGACCATTTGGAAACTCGGGCACTGCCCGAGGGCCCGGGGTCAGTAGGGGGCCCCATGAGATGCCCCTGGTACCTTTTTCATAGGCTTTTTTGAGTTTGGCAAGGACACAGGGGCCCCATGATCCACTATTGCCCGGGGGCCCCATGAGTTGTCAGTCCGCCCCTGGGTGGGGCTTATCCTGCACAATGCCGCCAAGTGTGGGCTATGCAAGGCACCGTAGACTGGGCCATTTACCCTACACATGGGGTACATTTACTTGTGTCATACTTATCAATGCCTCAAAACAGGGTGGAGGCCACTATCGGAGATAACTCAATCTTAAGGCGGACCTCCAACTTAGAAATGGCTGTATAGCATGTACACTTGAACAAATAAACTGGACTCCATGCATGCATTTAGTTGACCCTTCTCTCCCAACTAGGGCAATCAGCTGTCTAACTAAGAGAAGGCCTCCTGCCCACAGGTTGGATGTGCCTTTTAGAACTATTCAACCTGATAACTCTAATCACAAGGAGTTCTGAAAAAATGCACACAACAGATTGCCACTTAAATCTTCTATACAAGCAAAATGTGTCCTGCAGCTCAAAATACTACAATGGCTGTCCCGGCAAAATGCCATTCAGCTAACATACACCGCTGGAGCTCCCAGCCAGGCACACTTGATGTATTATAAATATAGTGGTATGGATTTTATGACCCATAATATGTCCGACAGTATTTTTTAAAGTACAATCGTGTAATAACATTTATGTTTTTTAATCATATAGTAGGTATACTATAGATATAATGAGGATGTGGCAAATGAGTGCTTAATTATATTTAACTGAAACATAGTGAAGTCAGAGACAGCCAGGAATCTAGCATTTTCACAACTTATGCAATGGCAGCCCCCATATTTCTTTTATGACAGAGTCACTTTACTATCACCAAAGAAGAATTGAAAGGTGCCTAAACACTTTTTTGTAATGAGAATTGATACCTGGATGACCACACCATATTTAGCAGTGTCAGTAACTAATACTGTAACTAATTTGCTTGATTGATTTTCTGAAACAGTTTTATTAGATTTCAGAAATAGATACAGGAACAAGATTAGAAACGTACAATATTCCACACAAAATAGGCAGGGGAACCCTGAATTTTCTTGCTTGAAACTTTTATATCAAACTATAGAAATAAATAGAGAAAAACATAAGAGGCATACCCCAGTCCCCCAGTTAGTGATACTACTTTGCAGAGACAAGTTTTTTGAAAGTCAATGTCTTCTTAAACTTAAAAAAAACTGCAGAAACATGCTCTGTAATTAAATTATCCTTAAATGGCATTGCATTAAATTTCTGTGTCTTAGTGAAGAGTTAAGCTGCCTGTGGATGGTGCTAAGTCAGCAAGTAACCATACTGTCCACACAACTAGGGGATGATAATTTTGAAAAAACGTTGGGGTTGCAAGGGAGCAGCAACATCTGTATAAATGGCCTGCCAGTGGTGCTTATTCAGCACCCTGCTCCCGGGAACAATATTTTAATTGTTACAGATTACATCTTTGTACTTCAAGCATACAAGGGGATGGAACTAAACAAAACCAATGCTTGTGTTGTACTTACATGTTTGTTTTTCCTGTATTGCCTTGAACTGCATCAGGTTTTTATTGTTTGGTGTATGCTGACATCTAGTTGCAGATTTATGTCACTAACACTTGTTTACTATGTGATTTGGTTTTTCCCTCCGTTCTCCTTTCTTGTTTATTGCTATTTAATTCAGTCCTAGCTAGTCCCTGTTTCTTCCATGTTCCCCCAGTCAGTGATACTACTTTGCAGAGAAAAGTTTTTTGAAAGTCAACGTCTTCTTAAACTTAAAAAAAACTGCAGAAACATGCTCTGTAATTAAATTATCCTTAAATGGCATTGGATTCAACTTCTGTGCCTTATTGAAGAGTTAGGCTGCCTGTGGATGGTGCCAAGTCTGCAAGTAACCATACTGTCCACACAGACTGGGTCTAAGGAAGTATCTCAATGTATAAAGAGGCATTTGGAATGGAACAATGCTTTCAAACAGCAGATCAGACAGAAAGATTACAAAGCTAACAGGATGCCATGAAGTGGACACCTACGGTGCCTAAATGTACAGAGATTAAAAGAAAAAAAAATCTAAAAACAAACGCAAATATCAATCCAAAGATTTTTGCACAGCTCGTATTTATATGATTTTTGTGCCCATATTTCAGCTTTAACTGCTTTCAAAAGACTCTAAGTATAACAAAAAAAACCCCTAATCACCATAAAAACGTAAGAGTTAATTTAAATCAGCTGACGCTCACAATCGGGCAATATTAACTGGCATCCCACACCCTCTGCCGTGCTGTGTAAAGATAAAGAGCACATTAGTACATAGAGCTTGCTCTGCAGTGACTGGAAAGCAGAAGTAATATGTATTGTTGCCAGCCCTGGATACGCTATAGAGAGAAATCAGCAGTGTATCGGAAATGGCTTGGAAGAGAGTAGTTGGGGCTTCATCCAGCTGGCATCGTTCCAGAGTTTGTTCTTTGTATACTGTTCGTTAATCTTGGTTTGTAATTATCATGCTTGAACTCTTGTGGCTATTTAATGGCAAGCATAGCACTGCTGTTCTTTTTCTGTCAAAAAAAAAAGTGCATGCGCGTGTAATACTTCTATCTAAACGATAAAGAATGTTTTTTGGTTTTTTTTTTAACAATTTTTAATTGTCAAGCTGTGGTTTAATTTCTCATTGTCAAAGCCATACCAGAAGCATAAAATGACATGAAACAAAAGGGCCTGTGCTGCTAAAACCAGCCAATCGGAATTGCTCTGTCATTTGTCCGGTACAGACTGAAAAGTAAAAATCAGCCGGATCTGGATAACAGATAGTTCTACAGAAAAACAACCTTGATGTCTTGGAATGCTAGAACCCCTTTAGAATTACTAAATCAAAGTCTGGCCATACTAAATATACTAGTTTCGGGTCTGTATTCAAACAACGTGAGCATACGATGAGACCCTTTTCTGCAGTCTGCTCCGCTTCTGATGATTATTTTTGCAACAACTAAAGCAAAAATGCTCCATTGTTGGCATGTCTCTATTTGCCTCAAATGCAAAACTATAATAAAAATGTACAGACCACCAAATGCGAAAGGGAAAATGGTTGCCATGGGATAATTAAAGACCAAGGAAAGGAATGCAGCTGTTTCTCTGTACACTGTGATCCACTGTTCTGTTTTACCAACATTTCTATGAATGCCGTCTATGAATTGTGTAGCAAATAGTGACATCACTGTGGCATGAAGTACAGAAAATTAATAGGCCGGTAACAGGTTCAGCCTTTAGAAACAGGCCGTGCCTGCAGTTCTTTGCATTTGTTTGTGTGCTTTGCCTGCAGCTTTACTATATACACAGTAATTGTGATGGTACATTAGGTTAGCTCAGTGTTTTTCCACACCTAAATAGCATATTTCTTACCCCTACCCACTGAAAGTATGGAGTTTTAACCATTCTCTACTCTCCAAAATTTAAAAAGTTTTGGCCAGAGATTCTTTTTAACACTATCACCAAATCTCAGAGCCTAGCAACCTTAGGTTGAGCTTAAGAGTCTAACCCTAACACTTTACACTATTTGTATCAAAATAATCAGTCAGCCTTGCTTTTTTACATGCTGGATGTATTTGTGCTTTGACCATCATGTCAGACATGTGCATGCTCATAATAATGAGTGTACAACAGAGTCCATGAGGACGAATGGGCACGTCCAACAAAGCATAGCAGCCTATTTAAACCAGGGCCCTGCATGGTATCAATACTGGATGGTCTTTCAGCTGGAGTTCCTATATTCCTTGTTCCTGAATCTGCTTGACCCCGTTATTGACCCAGCTTTCATTTGACCTGCTACTGGATTACCACTATCTGTCTATGTTTGCTGCCTACCTTTGTTACCGACCTCGGCCTGGACTCTTCACCAAGATTTTGACTAATGGTGCTGTACCTTGCTGCTTTCAGGTTGGCAACCTCTGCTCGTCCCCGTTCTTGATCCTGCTCTTGATTTGGTGCCTTCCTGCTCAATCGTTACAAAGCTCAGCTTATGACCAAGCTCTGCTTTCTATTGGACTTGGTGAATTCAGGGTTCCCCCATTGCTGTGCTTCTCCGCACCTGACATCAGCGCTCCTAAGTTCAAGTCCTACCATTGCCTTAGCAGTCCCCTGTGCCAACCTTCAGGAGTGCTTAGATAGGAATTGTGCAAGAGGCCACCCTCATGTCAAACTCCTCATACATGTACAGTATGTGACAACTGGAACTGAATCCATATATTCCTATGTGTAGCCAAATCCCACAACCAAATTCAGCTGTTCTGTAAGTGCAGGTTGTACAGGCCTTGTAAGTGCTGCCTATTTGGTACTATTAAGGTATTTTTCATACTGAATATTTACACTATAAATACTCATACATGTTTGGCTTTAATTGATGTAGTAGTATGGTCAGTTATTAAAGTATACCAAAACTTTTTTTGGATAGGGTGGGGAAGATTTAAAACCACTGTCCGATTTTTTTGCTATCTGTGTCCTATTGGGGAAGTTTTTGTGTCACTACCAGGTGGGAGGTAAGCATCAGAATCACACCAGATTTGAAATAGTTAAGTGCAAGCCTATGCTGTGAAGAACAGAACTGTCATTAAACCATTAAAAGTGGTGTCCTGTGGGTCTCCTCCAAAGAGGGTCCATATTGGGAGCCTTAGAAGGTTTTTGAACTGAAGCTACTACAGTATCAGCACACAGCTTCCCAGGATTCCAACACACACTCGGGCACCAAAAACCATTGTCCAGCTCAGCTGATGAACTGAGGCCAGTAAAGTAGAAAACTGCTCTGGCTCCAATGGTTGTTGGGCAGTTGCACTGTAGCCAGCACAGCCTTTGCAGCAATAGTCACAGTATTCATATGGCTCCTGAACTGGTCACAAACTCCTCAAACTAAAATCTGTGTTGACGTCCCCTCGGAGGAGGAGATATCGCTCTGCCTTTCCATGCTCAGGAACTTGGGTAGACGGAGCCTCGGTAGTCCTACTGCAAATTTGTTATTGGCTCCTCGGGATAAGTAACAAGCTCTTCCCAGGTCTGATTGTCCACCCACGTGATTTAGAGGTCTCAGGGCTTCACATGGCTAGGCAATAAGTCAAACAAAAAGGCCCATCAATACCCACAATGGACCCAAAGTGCGGTCCATAGCATTACCTGGAAGCATTCTGGAGAGACTGGCAACAAAATCTCTGAAATCTCATGATGACACATTGCAAATCCAAGCTGGGCATGAAAACATAGTCCGGTATCAAGGACTACTCACTTAACAAAAGTATAAGCCTTCTTCTTTGGCAATGCCATGCTACAAGATACCTGACTGTAGGAAATATGACATAGAACGCAGTCTCACAATCCAACAACATCCAATCTTTAAAGCCACAGACACCACTTTGAGTGCACCAACTCTTTATAGCTCTATTTTTTAGCTACCAATCCTGAAATCCAACACAATCTTCCAAGCAGCAGGCAGGTAACTTATGGTGCCAACTATGCTAAATATGTAATCAAGTGGAAGGGCTGCTATCTCTTGTGCTCAGCATAGAGAACACCATGCTCATGGTCAAAGGGTATTGCCCAGTTGTATTTGGCCAAAGACAGTTATAACGACCAAAACTCACTTGAGCACAGGTTCATTCTATGGAGGTGTCCTCCCAGGACAACGTCCACAGACTGACTTGCACTGGTTCACTTTACAAGTATAGGGATCTCTTGTCCAAATAACCCAGGCGTAGCCTATGAGCATAATACTGAGCATTCTCTTTACCCCATGCAAGAACAGAGTGGACACCAGACTTCTCAGTCCTCACTTGAACAGTGCCTGTAAGGTATTTCCGGTAAGACGAATGGCGCATAGAAATGCGCATGAGCAT